CAAAGAGTGAAAAATTTAAGGGGGTCTGAATACTTTCCGTACCCACTGTATATACATATATATATACACATACATATACACACACACATATCTATAAACAAAAAGATTCCACTTTTTAAAATGGCTAAACATCAGATTCTGGGTATGTAATTGTCTGATAAAAGAGGGTATGTAAACTTGTGTGTAAGTGGGGTGTAAAGAGAGTTTCCGTATGTGACTATATGCATATTTACCAGAGCATCTGCCAGGGCTTCCTCCACGTCTGATCCTGTGTTCAGCACTCTCATGGCACTAACTGAGGATGAGAGACGACTGGACTGAGATATACCCAAGCCAGAACCTACAACACACATCACACATTTTACACACACATGCACAAATACGAATAAAACAACATTTCCAAAAACAAAAAACTGCATGCAGTGATCTTATCAATACTGAGAAATCACAATTCACCAATAATAAGGATATTGACACTAGAAAACCAAAAAACAAATGATTATTACCATTGAAAACATTAATGAAAATTAATCACAAATGCCCATACGATCAATAAATAAATAAATAAAACATATCCAAAAACAAGTACACGCATCAAAAAACTTGGGTTAAACTCAGAGAAAATCATAGGTGACTGTGAAAGATGTTCCACACGAATCTACTTGAATACGGTTGTTATCAAGGCAATGGGAGGAACGATTATGAAGATTAACTTAAAAGCATGCAGGTCTGATGGAGGCTAAACTGAAACAAGCAGAAAGATGAGATGAAAATTCAAAAAGTGACAATGACAATAAAAAAAGTGACAGTAAAAAAAAAAAAAAAAATTAATGAGTCCTGTGCCAGCTGTGGTGACAGTTCACCTGCTGCCCCGAAGGCGTCTGGGGCATGAAGAGCACCAGTTGAGCGCGAATAATGCCGGGATGCTGCAACACACACACAAGAATGCAAACAAGCACACACACGCGTAAATACCCAGGCCAGTGTTAGAGCTCACCAGAGAAACTCACAATTAGCAGTAATGTGAGAATGTGCCATCACCAACCACACACGCCCCATTGTGACACACACATTTCACACACTTCAAGTGTCAATGCTCAAGGGTATTAGTCCAGTTCTGCTTGTGTCCTGTGTAACAGCAGGAATATTTTCACCTGGGCACCCCTTAAAAAAAGTTTCTTCTGAAAGTGACTTAAATGTGTCATACCTAACCTCAAAAATATCACTGTCAGCGAATCTCTATCTTAAATTTTCTTATCTCAATTAAATGTGAAAAATTACACTTTTTTTTTTTGGCACACTGAGGGCTTCAGCTTTGACTCTTTTTTCCCCATTAATGACAGACTCCATGTTTAATTTAATGAAATATTTTTGGGAAAGCTTTTGCACATGTTTATGTAACTGTCAAACTGCTTTATACATATGTACCTATGTAAAGTCAACAATTTTCTTCCTCAATATGACATTTCTGTGCAAAACAGGATATTCAACAAGTGAATAAAAAATTTATGAAAAAAAACAACATTGAATTTTGATTTTATTTGTCATTGTTTGAAATATTAGGAAATTTGTTATTTCCTAATATTTCCTGTCTGAAATTTTTCCTTTAATATCATTTTTCTCTGGTGTGCTGTATTTAAAGACCTCAGATGAAGCCTGTGCCAGCATCCATCAGCAATGTTCACCATGTAAGATGAAGCCAAAAAAAATAAAAAAAAATAAAAAATAAAAACAAGGCCAGGAGAAAATTGCTTCCTGACCAAGCTGAACCATGGGTGGGATTTTCAAACTCAAAAATATTTGTAATACAATGTTAAAGTGTGCTTGCATTGCTGTTTCACTGTACAAACATTCCTGTTTGGTAGCTGCAAAAATGTTGACGCAAACTGAGTCCAGCAAAGAGCATAATGTGCAAAAGCTCGACTTCCAGTTTCAAATGAAGTGAAGGAGGACAAGTATCACTGTTCAACATGGCATGATTTTGTCTAATAATTTTAGGCCCCTGCTGAGTTGAAGCTGATTGGTCCTGGTAGATGAAATGGTTGCCGTGGTTACTCACCGAGCGGCGTGAAGGAGCGCACAGGGCTGGTGTCTCTGCTGCTCTCTCGGCTGGCCTCACGACTGCAGCCCTGACTCACACTAGGCCGTGGTATACGACTACCCCTCGCTGACCCACCCCCAAGAAAACATATCAAGACAAGAGCAGATAAGATGAAGCCAAAAAAATAAATAAATAAATAAATAAAAACAAGGCCAGGAGAAAATTGCTTCCTGACCAAGCTGAACCATGGGTGGGATTTTCAAACTCAAAAATATTTGTAATACAATGTTAAAGTGTGCTTGCATTGCTGTTTCACTGTACAAACATTCCTGTTTGGTAGCTGCAAAAATGTTGACGCAAACTGAGTCCAGCAAAGAGCATAATGTGCAAAAGCTCGACTTCCAGTTTCAAATGAAGTGAAGGAGGACAAGTATCACTGTTCAACATGGCATGATTTTGTCTAATAATTTTAGGCCCCTGCTGAGTTGAAGCTGATTGGTCCTGGTAGATGAAATGGTTGCCGTGGTTACTCACCGAGCGGCGTGAAGGAGCGCACAGGGCTGGTGTCTCTGCTGCTCTCTCGGCTGGCCTCACGACTGCAGCCCTGACTCACACTAGGTCGTGGTATACGACTACCCCTTGCTAACCCACCCCCAAGAAAACATACCACGACAAGAAGAGAGAGAAAAAAACAGATAAAGAAGAACAGAGACGTTGAAAGGTATAACAGTAGAACTAGCAAAGTAGGAGAAATTTAGAAGGAAAAGCTATAACAATTACATAAAGTTTTTCTAAGCACCAAAATGACAATAGATTTATTAACTTTTTGAGGGGGGGAAAAAAAGGGCCCAATACAAAGCCCTGAGGAACCTCACAGAAAAAAGACAACATAAAAAAAACAACAATATTTGAACTAATTTCTAGAGTCCATGCACAAATTCCACATTAAAGGAATTGATTAGAAAAGAGCAAACATTCACTGACAAGGGAAGAACAATTAGAAGGTTAAGAATTAAAGGGTGAATGTTAGGGTGTATTCACACCTGTCTTGTTTGGTTCGACTGAATCGAACTCAAGTTCGTTTCCCCTCTTGGTGCGGACCTTTTTGGCAGGTGTGAATACAGCAATCACACTCTGGTGCAGACCAAACAACCGTACAGAGACCCAGCTGAAGAGGTGGTCTCCGTCCGCTTCCAAACGAACTGTGGTACGTTACATTTAAGGTGTGAATATGACCCGACCTCGATCCGACCCAACTGCAGAAATCATGCTCCGAAACAGACAGCTCGTGCATGTAGTGCTGTTATTTGCGTTTCAATGGCTTAAATCACTTGTTTTTAAACCACAATGCT